GTGGGTGTCTCATCACTATGTCTCCACGTTCCTGTCTGGAGTAATGTTAACGTGGTGAGTCTGCTCTCGCCTGCTCGAGGTGCTTCAAGCCTGTTGCAAAGTGTTTGCATCATCTAAGCATTTAAATCCGGTGTGACCATGAAGCTGTGGCCGCACTGGCACATGGAGAAGCGTCAGACTCAGTATTTGTCTGATGTTACAGATGTTTTCAATGATAAATACAACACTGCAAGTTTGTATTTGCATTGCTGATTTAAAAAAAAAAAAACCAAACCCTAAGCCGTAGTTGCGCTGGTGGTAGCAAAATCTCTGCAAGTCTCCCGATTTCTGTCTCTGTGTAACTAAGCAAACAAGCAGCACTTTGCTTTAGAGGGAGGACACCACAAAATGAATCTGTTTGGTGCCTTTACTGAACCCAGATTAAAAACCGAGTATAAAGCCAAAAATGCAAGTTACCTTCCAGCAGGTGGTGACGTTGGTCAAACAACGCAGCGATGCACCCCGCGTATGGCCCCTGTGCATCCTGTCTCAACTTTGGCATGAACTGATTAGTTAATAATTAAAAATTGTTTTAAAACAACAAATGTTTCTGCTCCTGAATCTGTAAGGGGATGACATAGTGGCTGGAGCAGAAGGTCCCCTGTCCTCTGTCTATCCTGAATTACCCTTAGGATAAGGAGCACAACCACCCCCTGCTCCACCGCTTGGATTCTTGATGCAGACGCTGCTGAACAGCTTTGATTGCTGCCTAGAGAAAACTGTGATAAGCAAATGAATAAGAGGGGGCAGCATTCATACACATTTGAGAGGGGAAGCCTAATCAATTAGAGCATTTTGTACAGGCCAGTTTTGTGATGTGCGGCTGTAGCACCCTTTCTGGGCTCCCGATGGGGTGGAGCAGGCTGGGTACGAGCTGCTTGCTTCGTTTGCTGACGGGATCTGGCTTGGCGGTGAAGGGGAAGGGCACTGCATCATATGCTTTTTACCAAACAAATAGACCTCCTTTGTATTTTGCTTTCAGGCCAGATGGACTCATGTATCAAATGTTTCGCAGTCAATTTTTAGCATTTTCAATATTTCAGAGTGAGTATATCTTACCTTGCTAATTCACGGGATAAAATAGTTTTGTATCTTATGTGCTTAGAAGAAAACACTTCTGCTTGGTAAATCACTGGAGTATTAAACTGTGCAAATATAAACCATACCATGCAAATATACAATGTACAAATATAGACAATAATTAACATGCTGTTGGATTAAACATTATTAAAATAGTTTTTTACATTTATCCTATTTCTGAATAGCCAATGCAATGATGTTCTCTCTCTCCTTCTCCAGGTTGTGTTCAGTTCCTACAGTATTATTATCAAAGGGGCTGCCTTTATAGACTCCGTGCTTTGGGGGAGAGAAACCACTTGGACCTTACAGTAGGTGAGGTTTTCTGCAATACTTGGTTTGCAAAGGTTTTGCGCAGGTTTTAGATGCAGCGATAGGGAGAGGGCTGTGTGGCCTTCCGAGAGCGAGCTTTGCAGAGCTGCCACCCCCCTGCCCTGCTGCCTGTGTCCTATGGCAGGAAGGGGAGAGAGGCTTTTATCCCCCTCCTCGGGTCCTGTGGGTCAGGAGCAGAGGGATCTGATCTCCGTCAGCTCTTGAGTGGATTAAGATGGAGGTTTTGGTCATCCCCATCTTCATCCTCCTCCCATTACCACACCTTCAAGTATGGTTATTGCGGAGCAGGACAGGAATAGCCCTTATGGGGTGGTCTGGGTGAGGAGGGCTGCAGCTTGGGTCCTGGCTCTTCTGTGCTCAGTCTGCCTCTTCTGTTAACCTTTTCCAGAAGGATTTCAGTCCTGGATGTGGCGGGGGCTGACATTTCTCCTTCCCTTCTTGTTCTTCGGGCACGTAAGTTGGGCGATCCTGTTCCTCCCCCTGCGGCGTGGGGCCTGGGAGGGTCTGCCGCTGCAGTTGCAGCACCATAAAAAGGTGCTATGGATCACACACACCTGTGGCAAATGTTTCTAAGTTTTTTTGCTAGTAATGGAACAGCTTTTTTTTCCTTTTTAGTTCTGGCAGCTGTATAATGCAATCACACTTTTCGGATTGTCGAGGCATAAGGAGTGCAAAGAATGGCAGGTGGGTGTTGGTTCTGCTCAGAAAAAGCACGGAGCAGGGGAGGGGGGGTATTTAACCACATTCTTAAAGATATTTGGGCTCTGACCCCATCTAAATATCTCAGGGTGATGCGGCACAGAGGCTATACAAGAGAACTCAAAATAAATGTGAGTTACTGTAGGGAAACTTGCACGCACGGGTGACCACACAAACCGAAAGGCAGAGGATGTAGGAGGAAGAAAATACATGTGGGTAAATATCTCTCCATATTGTTTGTGTATATGGGCATTTAATAGCAATAACTGCTGAATTGCTGGTGGTTCTTTATGGCTGATCCATGGGTTACACATACAAAAATATGATGACAAAAAACCGATGGCAGTGAATCACTTTAAAAACATATTATCCACTTTATTACCCTACTTCTAGGGATCCTTCCACTTGTTTTCTCAGTTGCTGTCAGCCATCAAACATGTCTATCCATTTTCCAGCTATACAGTTGCTCCTGTAGATCCAGATTGGACCACATCACGCGTGCAGCGGTGCAGATAATCTGATGGTCTTTATTTTGGTCAGATCTTGCTGTAGCTGGTGTGCTCACTTTGTTCACTGGCTTAACAGGAGGAACACAGCTTCTGCAGAAACGTGTCGTCCCCCATGCCCGTGCCAGCGCTGTTCAGTGGAAGTCATTGTCACATAATGTTAATCCATTAGATTAGGCTTAATGATTTGATTTTACTGTCTGGTAGAGTCCACCTATGTTGAGTATAATCCATGTTGTAATACTAAAAAGTACTAAATGCTACTTAAATGATGATAAAAATATACTTCCCGTTAACCCACACAGCTGGATGTGTGGATGTATATTTGGCTACGATCTCTCCTCATGTGCTAACACATCCCTGGACTTGCCAACCAAGCACCATCACAGCTCGCTTAAATGTGGCCCAAGCAATACAATACCCTCAGCTCTCGCCTTTTTTTCTCCTCCTTCTCCCATCTTAGGTTTTTGTGTTGGCATTCACGTTTCTGCTGCTCTTCCTTGGGAACTTCCTCACTACTCTCAAAGTGGTGCACACTAAACTCCAGAAAAACAAAGACAAAATGAAGAAGCTGTGACCCCCCCCCCCTCCCTGGGGTGCTGGCTGCCGTCCCTCCGCCCGCAGCAGGATGGATCCTGCCATAAACCCCAGCTATGCCGTGGACGGGCTCGGAAGCACTCATCCGTTCCCGTGTTTGGCGAAGGATACGGACTCTGCCAGTACAGACTCAGTATTACGCAAGCATGGCTCTCCAGTCTGTGGTCCTGCTATTTATGTATATTTAATACAAAATGTGTTTGCTTTTTGTTTTTTTCTGTATATAGAGCAGCATGCACCTGCCCGGCGAAGCACCAGCATTGGGAGAATGTAGGATCTACTGTAATTCCAGTTCTGGAATGATATTTAACACTTTCCGGTCTTATTATTTAAATTCTGGGTATTGGATTTGCAAAGGTTTATGAACACTCCAGGTTGATCAGTAATACAGACCGAATGCTGTTTTTTAAAGGCATTTGTTTAAGGCATATTTTCAGTGGCAATACTAACCTGTGTGTACTGTGAAAAAAAAAAAAATGCCCATCTTTGTACCATACTGCTGCTATATACACTTTTAAAAAGCTATTTAAAGAAGAGAAATCCTCTTTTGAAAACAAAAACAAGCAAGCAAAACCAGTTGTTAAATGGCAGGGAAGTCTGCTAGCCCTCTTCCAGGGAGACCAGGTCATCTGTCCAGGCCTGGAAAAGACCTAAAATAAACTGTTCAATATGCAGCTGCTTCAGCCCCTTTTTAATAACAAATACACTGCCCTTCGGGTTGTTTTTTCGAGACACTGTTTTTCCTTAAAATGGCCTTGATCAGTGGCAATAAGTGCAGTTGCACTTCGGTTTCTGTTTTCGGTATTTTTTGCTCCCAGTGCCGTTCTGGAAAGGGGACGACAGGCTCAGCAGAAATATTAAATACTTTCTTTAGATGCTGCGCTTGTACCAATAGTTAAGAGAATGTAAACACTCGTTTAGGAGGATGGCAGAGGACAAATACTGACTGCCATCCTTGTGCTGCTTGAACTTAAACTTACTCATTCAAATAAGCTTGTTTTGGGTGCTGTAACATCTGTACCTCCTAAGGCCAGCTGCAGCATTGTGAGCCGCTTTAGGCAGCGTCTTTCCCAGCGGTGAAGGCTTCCTTTGAGCTAGCACAAAGCCCAAATTGGGCACGTGCTTTGGCAGCATGTGATCTGAAAATGATGCCCTTCTCCCAGTAAGCGTGCTCATGAAGAAATACAGATGCACTACAGACTTGAAATGGTTTCATCAGTTCTTCTGTTGCTGCAAGGCTAGCAAAATTACCTTTACGGTGTCGCTGTCCTGTGGGCATGAACAATAAACTGCAATTTGCATATTTTGAACAACTTTCACACTAGCTGGGCTGTATCTTGCTACGTTAACTTTTGACTTCTGCATACCCTGCGGGGTTGGGTTTTTTTATCCTTTGAACTCTCCATTTATGAAATGTAAATTGTTTTATTTTGAGAGCGATGCTGGAACCTGCTGGATCTGAGCAGTGGACCTGGTTCTCCAGGGGTGGGGAGCTCTGCACGTGGTGAGTAACTTGAGTTCTGCAGCATGAGAAACTCAAGATTAAAAAAGCTAGAAAGATTCCTGCTGTGGAGCTGAGGGTAGACGTGGTAACTTCCTGCGCGTTGATGTTTCAGTTTTGTACTGGGTAAGGTGAAGGGTGGTTCTGTGTCTTTTACTGAGAAATGTCTTCTCGTGGAGAAAGGGCTGCACAATTCTTCAAGATTTTTCTGTACTCAAAGATGTGCACGAACTTGTAATTTTTTTTTTAATTTTCCATTTTAAGCTCGTAGGGATTCGCAAACCTTAATTAAATCAAAACAAGTTAGGGTAAGAAAAAAAGTAAGATTTCAAGGATCAAGATCTCTTTACCCTACATGTAAAATAATAATGATGGCTCAGTCCAAAACAGAGTTTTTCACCAGCTGGTCATGTAACTAGCAGAGGATAAAGTTGCATGAAATGTGTATGATGTACAGTTACCAGGCTCTACGTGCAATGTTAGTCTAACAGACTCCTGGCATGCACCGCCTAAACTTTTTGGCAAAAGGTTGTGTCTTGTTACCGTTAATGGAAGTCCTGTGTATTCTCCCTTAGGATGGGCTGTCATTTGCCTTACACAGAAAGCTTTCAGCAACACCTGTACTGCAGAAACCTCCTTCCCTGTCAAGGGTTTGGTTTATGATGACTACAAACTAGTGATTGCACCTGAAATCCAAGATCTCGCTGCATGAGGATGTGCAAAAGAACTAGGAGATTTGAGGCACACGTACTAGGTTGTACAGTGGGAGCATCCCTCAGCCTCAAACAGACGACTGACACCTTCATCACAAAAGGGAAAATTTTCATTTATAGCAGTAGAGATGATTTCATCAGTTAATGAACATGAGTTAAGTATTTCCCCTAGCATGCACCAATATTTGCATCTGTCATGTATTAAACAAGCTGTATGTTTATTGTAAAACTGCCTTTACATTACACATGGCGTACTGCTTAGAGGACTTCTAACTTTGAGTGCTGTAAATTAAGTATTTTCCATTATATTCCATTTCTGAATTGGAGCAACCAATGTATTTCCATTGATAAATACCACTTTCAATATAAATACCACTGCTCTAAAGGAGCAGCTCTGCAAAGCTGGCCCAGTGGTACAGGGGCAGTAGTGGATGCTCTGTCTGTGCACTCGGGTGGCAGCTTGAGGCTAACTCATACCACTGCCATCAAGTAAATTAATTTGAAAATGTTAAGACAACTTCATTTCTGTCTCTTCGAAGGTGCCTGATATGCTGCTTCTAAAAGACGTGGCTTTTCTGCTTGAAAAAGACAGTAAATTGTAGCTATAACATGCCACAATTATTTTGCAGAGGAAAAAAACCCACTAATTAAGTCATGCAGTAGCAGTCATTGTCCGTTGCAATTTAAATAGTGAGTCCGAGACCTGACTGGTGGTCGTTTGCAGTTAGGAGCAAAAGCCAGATGGACAAAGGCATGCAGCATTGATTAGCCTTGATAAAGAGCTTTGAAAACTTTGTGAGAGCAGTGCAATGAAAGTGCAAAAACACTAAAAATAATTAAAATTTGAAAATAAAAGTCGTTTTAGGAATACAAACATGTAATGACAAAAAAAAGGTCTTTAAAGTTATACTGTTTTTAAAATCTGAATCACTTTGCTCTCGTGCAGTCCATGCTCTCTTGCAGTCCCGATCATAACACTGAGCACACTGTCTGTTTCTTTTGGCGCTTGGCTTTTTTCATGGCATTCAGTGCAATGGTTGTTGCTTCTTTAAAAACATTTTCTATGTTTTCACGACACTTTGCTGAGCACTCCAGATAAACTTCTGCATTAATCTGCTGACAAGCTGCTTCACCCTGGAAAGAACAAAAGGTAAGAAAAGATGTAAACCCAATGTATGAGAAAGAAGGTGAGATGGGCAAGAAAGGGAATTATTTTGTACATCTTTGTATCGTGAGGTCAGGAAGAAAGAAGCTGCCTCTGAGTATAGTGCTAGAGTGTAAGTGACATTGGTAATAAACTGTGAGCCACTGTTAAATAAGCTAGTTTTTTTTCCTCTATGCCTGGCCTAGCAGTTCAGTGCATTAGAGACTCTGAGATGCAGACTGCTGATAGTGTAAAAATATTCTCAGTATTAAATTTGTTTAAAGAAATGCTAGGGTAGATACTCAAGTGAGGATATGCTGCCTACACAGGGATATTTTTTTCAGGCTTGACCTTAACTATTATGTGATGTCACCTTTAGTATTGAATGTCACATGCAAAAGCAGAATCTGGACCAATGTCTTGCTGGTGCACATGCAGGAACCCTAACTTTTGCTTTGGAGCATCACAATGGCTCAGCCGAAATCCTCGTATACACAAATGGGCGTCTGTGTTTCCCAACCTCACCCAAATGCATGCAACGGGAACAGACTAGAATCTAAAAACATTTGCATGCAATCCTGGTTGCGCGAAATCACTACAGACAAAACACAGTGATTTCTTACTTTGCTTGTGATCCTTTTATTGTCATTGCAGAGTCAGCCCCCAGTTTTGAACACCTGTGAGCCCTGGAGTGTGAATTCCAGGTCTGCAACCCACAGCTCACAAACTCCGCATTTATTCGTTATAAACCCTGGGAGTGGGGTCACTTGAGCACTCGGGCTTCTATATGGAGGGGGGGTTTCTTCAGCATATTTAAGCAAAGTCTGTCTCCTTCCAGTTGTTTGCAAGCTGCAGTGCTGGCAGATACTGTTCAGCTCCTTTGTGCCTGGCATTGGAAGCATCACGTCGTGTGACTCAAGATGCCATCAGCTGTAAAAGACTGAGGTAGTGTATATTTAAGGGGAGAAAAACCAAGTGGGAGGGCTCACATAGGAGACAAAGTTTGTACATCATGTGGGCCCTGGAATGTAATTGCATGAGGCCTCAGCAGACTGGCCAAAAGTGTCTGTTGCTTGCCCTGAACCTCACGTGTGAGTGTGATGAAGGGAGTTACTAATGCAAATGAGGGACAATCTGCAGCTGTTCACAAAGCGACAGGACGGGCATCTCATCTCGTGCGCAAGGAAGACAAGCTAAAAGTCCCAGCGTGGTTTAGTGGTGATGCAATTGCAGTTTCTTTTCATGATGTTTAGAAGAAGTAGTGATTCATTCAAGGTCTTAGTGCACTTAACCTCGTTCTCCGGACTTGTCTCAAACAGTTCGAAAGCTGCTGTTCTTGCTCTGCGATGAGAGGAGAAGGGTGGCTTTGTAGTTTAAAAAAAAAAGCAGAAGACCAGAGCAGAAAGGTCTTGTGTGACATGGGACGAGCTGTTCCACCACTGACTGTTTCTCTTGTACCTAGGACAGCTATGCCTGTCTTGTAACACTAGTTATAAGTCTTGCTGCTTTGTAATACTTAAATTGAAAACATTTGATAATATCTTTTTTTAGAAGATTACTTTAGAGACTTCAAAGAAAAGTCTCTTATGTTAGAGAAGCCTTGCAGATGCTTTTGCTATTGTCCTTGAAAGGATTTATTTTTAAATAGGGTTTGCAAAACACATTTTTTCCAGAACAGTCAATATTTTAAATCCTGTAATGTGTATCCTAGCATCTCCAGTCTTTCTCACAATCCTGATCAAGGTACCACTGATGGGAGCAATGTATCCTAATAAAAATTATTAAGGGAGTCCGACAAACTTGTCGAGGCTTACAAATTTGTAACAGTAATAACCCAGCTGTGAAAGGAAACAAGAATGAGATGTAATAAGCCTAGAAGGTGTAGCTAGTAGTTTCCTTTCAGACATCCCAAGATATGCAAAACACTCTTCAAATTTCTCTTTACTTTGGTACTAAAAATGGGTAGTGATTTGGCCACTTCCAAAAAGGACTTACAGAAACCCCGGTTAGTGCTGACTCTCAGTAATTTCTTTACCTGGACACTGTGATCACCTAATTTTGGAGTATCCGTGATTGCACTTGTGAGCAATGATGCCATTGAAGTAAGTGTGCTCTGTCTCTTGCAAAGAGGACACCACTTTAAATGCACTTGTATTTACCTGATTGTAAGTAATGGGCTCCTGCTTAGAAGCCCTGAGTTTGCGCAACTGTTCTTTGTCTTTCCGAAGGTCTGTCTTGCAGCCGATCAGTACGAGCGGGACGCCTCGGCAGAAGTGATTCACTTCAGGATACCACTGATGGTAGAAAACCAAAACTTTTACATCTGGCTTTTTTTTTTTTCCCCCTGACATCAAAACAATAAAGCCAAGGAACAGAACCAGCATTTAATATAGGCTGCAATTTCAGCATTTTGAAAGTCATTAATGTAGTGGTAGGGGCCCAACATGCACTATTTACATTACAGAAACATTTAAGTCCTACCCAAAGTCAGTTGCTTTATAACATTTGCCGCTATGCCAAAGAGCTTACTTAACACCTGTTTAAATTCAGAAGAGCTCCTCTAAGTCATATTTAAGAGCAGAATTTGGACCAAGTCTTGCTTTGTTTTGCTGGTGCTATGTACAGGAATGCTAACTTCTGCTCTGGAGCATTACGGAAATCCTAGTACAGACAAGTGGTTGCTTACATGTCTCTCCCCTGTAGTTAAATTATGCATGTGATGGAAGTAGACTTGAATCTTAAATGCCTGTGTGCAATCTTGGTCGTGTGACATCACTACAGATAAAGCAGCGATTTCACCACTGGTTTGTGATCTTCTTAGTGTACTGCAGAGTCAACCCCAGTTCTGAGCATTTACAAGCTGTGGAGAGGTGAGCTCCAGGTCTAAGGTCTGTGACCTGCAGCTCAGTGCATGATGAGTGATCCGTGCATCTACACGCCCAGGCTACAGGACGCTAAAAACATCGGCTTTTTTAATCTGACATCCTGTCATATATCAAGCGTATGTAATTAATTTAAAAGGCTGAAGCAATTATGAAAGCCTCTTACCTTAGCTGCTACATTATCATAGCTAGTAGGGTTCATGACATCGTAACAAATTAACACGACGTTTGTGTTCTGGTAAGAAAGCGGTCGTAGCCGATCATAGTCCTCCTGCCCTGAAACACAGAAGTTTTGGATAAAAGAAATCTGTCTTTACATATTCCCATCATTCTGCTTGTTAAAGATACATACTTGAGATCAAGAACAACGGTACTATAATTGCATAGACTGAAAGTTTTCCATACTTGTAAAATTCCTTCCCTTAAATGCAGGAGATTCCTCTTCACTGACAAAACTGATGCTTTAGAATATAAAAGATGTCCTTGGCAAGTTTTAATAAAAAGCCTGCTTTGTCCAACTGCTAAGTAAGTACTTAGAAGCAGTTCTAATCGCTGATTGCCAAGTTGCTGCTCACAAGCAAAATCAGCAAAAGGAATTTGACAGTTACCGATTAAAACATTTGCAATTTGGCAGTGGTTCCATTCTCCCAAATACATTTGCACATGCGATGCTGTGAGGAGAAGAAATACCATATTTGCTAGATGCAAATGCTGAAGTAAAAATCTTAGTGGCAAGCTTGCTTTTCCCAGCTCAGTGAGCTGAGAGGAAGCCGTGATTAGCACGCTGTGCCTTTAGCACCGCTGCTCACTGTAGCAGCACGCACGTGATTTTACAAGACATGCTGCAACATGAGCCAAGCTTAAGTGGTCTTTGAAGCAGGACTACACAGCACATCTTAGGGATGCTGCTGAATTCTGGAAAAGCAGGGGATTTGTCATACTTCTGATTAGGGACATTCCACCATGTGATCTGACAAGAGGAAGCTAACTTGCTTCAGACCTGTACTCTTCCCCTTGCTGTACATATGACTTAGCAGTAATCACCGTGCTGGGGTCTGAAGGTGTCTTGCTTTGAGAGATTAAGTTCAAGAAGCAGTAATTACCAGATATAGTTGGCAGCTCAGGGAAGAAAACCAATCTTTTTCATTTGAGATTTTTTCAGAGACTTAATAAGGAAGAAACCGTGATTTAAGCAGTCTGTAGAAGATCTATTTGCCACCTGAATGCTGCCCCTGGAATCAGGTACGTCTCTGTGATGCACCAAATTTCCAAAACGAGAACTGGAAATGCCATTCCTTCCTATGATCACCACAATGTACGCAGAGCCCAGAAACTGCCCTACAGGGAAGTTACACATCAATACAAACATTTGAGATATTTCAAATGAAGGGATGCTGAAAATTTCAGTGTGCCCCAACTTTGTACCAATTATTCCTGCCCAGGCACCTGGCTCAGTCCCAAGTCACATACTCATCACTCTAGCCAACATGCTTGTCTCCAGCTGCAATCTGAAGAATTGCAGATACCAGAAGGCCAATAATTCTACAATACTTTGCCCCCCTCCTTAATTTAAACCATGGATCGACATACAGGTTATTACAAGGGAATCCCTACCGGATAAGCCATTACTCAGTTTGCCTGAGATGTTTGTAAAACGGAAATCTTAGGTTTGGACCACTCTGTATTTGAGCTCCCACAAGAGCAGCATGCTCCATGGGCAAGGTGCAGAACAAAGAAGGATTGATCTCTCGGTGTTTAATCCAGAAATAATAGACAATTGACAAAATTATGCATGTTGTATAAACATTCAGAGCAAAGACTGTACTGCTTAGCCCTTCTTATTCTCCCAAATCCACCTACTTGTTTGCAACCAATTTACCATTTCGTTGCTGAGATAATCCTCTAAATGCATTAAACACATCAGGTGCCAAACCTTTTCTTTTTTCTCCTAATGTCCTCTAGTGTTATGTGCTGTGTATGATTTTCCCTGTTCAAGTTCATGCCTCTCAGCTTCTACCAATGTAGCTTGTAAAATCAAAAGGTCCTCCAAGTTATTGCTGGCAATTTGTGAGGCGGACAGGACTGTCCCCTTGGAAGAAATACATTTCGTTTGCTTGGAATTGAACATACAGCTAAAACCATACTCTCCTGGATGGGATAGTAGAAGAAGTGTCTTCAAATATGCTGTATTGCAAGTCAAAAACTATAGATATGCCCCAGTGAACTGCACCTTCATCTTCAAAACCAGCTGTGCAGTTAGGTTTTTTTAAGCAAACAGAAAATAAATGCATGAGAAAATGCTGCTGTATAAAATGCAGCTCCATGCGTATTTGGAATTTCAAATACAGAGCAAGAACAAGGTATAGCACAGAGACCACAGGGGGAAGGTTAGATGGTAATTGCTTAACTTGTATTATGGTTGGATGATTGCAGTGCTCACTTGGAAGGAGAGGAAGCTATTCTTTAAGAGGGCAGATGCAGTTCTTCAGTTACCGAGGATGTAACAGGACCCAGATCAAGCTGTGTCTAAACATCGACATCCCTCTCACTGAAAACAATCCTTTTCACCCCCTGTCCTTAAGTGCTGCTGCTGAAATGCAAGAAAGGGCCTGGGAGACTTTTTCTCTGTAAAGCTGCTCAGTCTGTGGTCAGAGCTAATTTGGCACAGATTTAGGTCTTCTAGTAGAAGAGTTTTAAAATGAAGGAACAGGGCTGAACCTGACCAGTAACTGAACGTATATGCAAAGCCCCCGAGTGTGCTTCCTCAAGCACAGGTAGCCGTTTTCTTTCCCCGGTTAACAAAAAGCATGCTGTGGAAGAATCGGTCAAATATATGCCTACGTGTGAGCATATCTGTGATTCTCCTCTGCCTTCCTCAATTCATTGTAGCATCAGAGACCCCGTTTGTTTGTTTTTTTTTTTTAAAAACCTCCATCCAGCTGAATTCACCTAAAATTTGCTACTTCTTTGCAAAGATCACGCTCCCGCATGCCTCTGTGACATGCTGTGTAACCCACATCACTGCAGTCGGGCCCTATGGCGGGGTGGGACCTCAGGTGATGGTTGAGGGTGAACAGGGGAAGAAGTGAAACCACAGGTCTCGGTCTCACATGCGTGTTCACCTCTGTCTGCTCTTCCTCACCCCTTCACCAATTCACCACCGAAGAAATGCCAGCTTGTGCGTTGCTCAGTCTGTAAAGGAGCTCGGCGCCTATTGCCATTGACGGGAGAGGGTAAACGATAGGTTCAAGACTTGCCAGCCTAGGAGTCTACCAGTACGTGCTGTCCTAACACGGCAGCGCGCTGTCCATCGCCACGAACCGCCAGTGGGGAAGGAAGAATGTAATATCCTGCCACCCGCTCCAGACCAGCTGACCGCTTCCTACGTATGGCCACGTATTGTCTGTAATACTCCACACTTGTGGTTTAGGATCGACGTGGAACCGTGCGATGGCGAGCCCTCACGGGCACACAAAAATGCACCCGATTCTCTTTGATTTGTTATTCTGCAGGCTCCATGGGAATGCCATAGTTTATTAGCTTGCCAGCTACGTTTTTTCACTACTTAGTTTAAAAAAAATTGGGAAACAGACATTCTTGGCTGGAATAAAACCAGTAGAAGAGGACACTTGGGGGGGGGGCACAATTCAATTAAA